ATTAAATCTAAAATAACCTATATGTATGTCAGTTGAATAAACTATTGGAAGTTAGTGGATGAAACCGAATTAACGTATACAGTATATGTAATTTAGATACTGAATTTAAGCATATCATAATTGCAGGCAACTTACCGTATATGCAACTTATCGTATTTGCAGCCTACCGTATTTGCAGACAACTTACCATATTTGCAGCTTACCATATATGCTGTCTACCATATATGCATTTGACCGTATTTGCACATATTTTTTTTATCCTTTTCATACATACCGTATTTTCATATACCGTGTTTTCATTTACACATAGAAGTAGCGTATATGTAACTTACATATATCGAATTGTATTGACCAACTGTTAGCAAGAAAATTCAAATATATTTCTATTTTTATTTCTAACATAAATATAACAAACAAGTAAACTGTAAAATATATCAATCAAGTAAATTGCAAACGTGTAAATCGCTACGAAAACTGTATATGCAGACGGAATAATATGCAAATGACCGAACATTGTAATTTCGTGTGTTTTCTGACAGAGAGTTTTTTTACATATGTGCTGGAACTGATGGAAAAACGATCTTTAATATAAGTGTAAATCTGTTTATTAACTCCATAGCAATAAACATTGGAGTTGCTTCAATGTCTGAAAATTTTGGCAGTTTTCGAAAACTCAAAAGTCAGTTGGAGAAAGTAAAAAATTACAAAAAATGGACACTCCAAACGAGCAAATTTTTGCTCCATTCGGTCCGACATTGGTGTACGCAGGGCGTGCCTGCATACAAGTTCAAGGTCCAAAAGCTATTTCGGTCTGTGATTTGCATCCCTGCGCACGCACATGCAGAGAGTCTCTATACTACACATGATTACACATTTCCAATGTGCAACCATATTTAAAATGGTTTTTGCTTTCATATTTTTCCTATGTGGAACAAACTTCATCTTCCCACATAAACCATCTTCCAATAGTCAACTTTGATCTCCAATTTCTCATTCACCCGAACTTTATTTTTGACAAGTAAATATATGATTTTGGTGCTCTCACGAAGGAGAACACGGATCAATTTTAATAT